AGAAAGTACGCGCGAACTGACTATACAGAGTAACTGGCCGCGAGATCAAATCATTCTTCTTTTCATAGGGAATAACACTCGCGAAAATTGATTCGTGAGATTGAACAAAAGAATTATACACATATTAGTAAGATCGTGATCAGCGAATTGCCAAGTATTTTTTTCAATTTCATTGATCGATCTCGAACTTGTCTCTCGCACTAATAATAATAGCAATAACGTACAACGCGAACTTATTGATGAATCGCGTTCGCAAGTACGAAAGCGAAAATAAATATGCAAGGAACTCACCCCCTCGGAGACGCGCTGATGGACGCCGTTGTCGTTTTCCCTTGTCTCGTTCGCGCGCGCACACTCTCTCTCTCTCTCTCTCTCTCTCTCACACACACGCGCGCGCGCGCACACATACACAGCAGCACGTACTAGCTATAGCCGGTTACAAGACACAACTAGCTATAGCCATATAAAAGACACAAAATTTCTTAATAACGTTGAGTTTACCTCTTTAGTTTTCAGCTGTCTTGCAAAAATAACGAGATGTCTGACGTCTTGTCTCGAATTTTCGTCGTAACCGACGCCGACGCCGACGCCGTGAAACTCGCCAAGGTGGAGAACGATAGAAACTACGAGTACGAAACAGTGACGAGGAACGCCAAACGCGCGAGTAACGCAAACTGACGCAGGCTAACGCATACCGAGCATGGCGCTATCGGTTATCCAGCGCTACCGTCTGGCGTCAGGCCGTCATGGTTGATGGTCTACCCAGTCTACCGTTGTTGAGTTAGGACTACGTTGGTGGGGTGGGAATAGGAAAATATTACATGGATTGCGTTCGATTCGAAAATATACACACCGATGCCAACCAGCCGTTCGGAAATACTCGTGCGTGTTCGGGATGCGTTAGGGGCTCCGGGCTACGCACAATATCAGGACTAAGAAATTAGAAATGAGAAATAATGATTTCAACCTATCAGAAACCGTGTATTCCGATGTATCCGATTTCTGACAAGTTAAAATCGTTATTCTTTATTCCGTCTGTTGTGCCTTAAGTGTGAGATCGTTCGGAGAAATGATGAATACCGCCTTAGCCTAGCCTAGGTCATTAAGGTCATCTAGGTATCGCATATCGCATCACCTACGCGACAATCGCGGCGTCATGGCGTGCTCAGGCATGGTCGGTATAACCAAAAATTAACACGGATGCATACTGTGCGTGTACTGCAAAGTAAAGAGAAGTAATTTCAGAATTTGATGAGAAAAAAAAACACCATTTTCTCATTACAGTCGTTTTCATCATGGTATGTGTACTGCAAATATAATGTTGATGGCCATGATAACATTATTAAATCGAGTAAGAAGTCAGCCGAAGAGATGCAGAAGAGTGCGGAATTTACAATGCGGAAAGTTATGACTACGTCAACGTTTTATATTTATATTCGTTATTAAGTATTGAAAGAGGAACGAAATGCACGTCTAATGTGAAAACAGGCACAACTCGCGTTCTTAGTTACCTAGTTTACCACGTAATTACGTACCGTGCTATATCTAACTGACTATACAAAAATTATAACGCATCATAATTTACCAAAACGCAAGTAATCCAACAAGAAAACAACCACGACATCGTATGTCACAAGCTTAAGAAATACTAAACAGTATTCTTCGACAGTTTTATATAATTAGAATCAATCGAAGGAAGTAAATCCAAATAAGATGGATCTTCATAATCGTTATTTACGTTTCTCGACAGTCAACGTTTCGCTTTTGCAAACTATAAACAAGTCTATTAGCATACATCACTTGATACAATCTTACAATTATGAAATGACTAAAGAAGAATTAGATGTAGATAAACTCGAGTTCTGCCGATTGCTGTTATGTTATGAATACCAATCTGTGTTTCGCAACATCGAGAAGTGCGATAAGAAGCATAAGAAGCATCTGACACCTGTTAATGCGAAGGAACCTGTTAACTTTCCTAGTGTAAAAATGATTTTTCCGCCAAACTGTTCACGAAATATCTCACAAATTTCACTTTTGTGTGACATAATCAATCTGCAGATGATACTTTACTATAATATTGGTTCAATCAAAGAATATCTGCAGAATTTTCTTTACTCAAACGACATGTATATCGCAACTAATAATTCTAGGATTATGTATATGAAGATATTAGAACATCTTTTAGAATTTTTACGCTTGTATCAACTTCATTCTATTGACAAGGATAGCAAGGCATTGGAAAGCTTTGGCCACATATATTTGGAAATTATCAAGTCCTGGCTAAAATTCAAGGAAGACTGTGAATGGAGACAGTTTGCTTTAATGTTTCCTAAATTGGTAGAAATTTTTACTCCTTCGTGTATTGTGTTTCCTCTGTGGAACCATTTTCTATATGAAATAAATGATTTGAAGGAATCTCTCATTGGCCTAAGTATTATGGCAGACATATGTTTTACGTCGTCAAATTCAATGAATTATATACAGTGTGATATTTACTGTAACAACACATTCTGGTTATTGATACTAAAGGGATTACGATCGCCCTTGCAACAATATCGCAAACAAGCTTTATACGTAATGAAAAAAGCAATCGGTTCTACGAGTACAAATGTTATATTAAATTTTGAATCACAATTGAATGTGACAAAAGCAGAAATTACACCATTTATTTGTAGTAATTCTGATAGCTCTTTATCAATAGATGACATTAAGGAGAAATTTTTCTTACTTTACGAAGCGTTAGAAGAGAAGAAAGAACATTTAATAACACCAACTTTAATTCATGCAGCTGCTTTAATAAAAATAAACAAAGAGCACAGAGCTTGCAACTGCTTCAACATCGTATGGTTGCAGTGCATTTTGGAGAAAATCTTACTGCATGAGAATAATCATATTGCAAAGTGGGGTGTATCATACGTTTGTAAACTAGACAAGACCATGTTTGATGATCAGTTTCTCGAATTATTTATACATGTCCTGAATAATAACTTTCTTTATGAATGCCAATCTGATGAAAAATGTCCGGGAATTGTGAAAGAGCTCTCGCAATTTCTCGAATACGCGGAGAAAAGCGATTTGCTCAATAGATTTGTTAAAAAGATTAGCTGTGTAGCCTGGGGGCCTGTAGCAATATTTTATATAGTACATGTGTTACGAACAATTTCACATCATGGGAGTCAACATTCTGATTGGCAAACTACTGAATTAAATGCCATAAAATTTTTAGTGGAAACAAATTTGAGCATGCATTCTCGCATTCTACGTACTGCGTCTCAAACTGAACTCTTGAGAGCAATCCCTAATTATGTACGAAAGATAAATAATCTACCATTGCTCGCTAATGTTTTAGCTACATTTCCTTCTGGAGAAAGTCTCACGAGAGGAACAGTTCCTTGGAACGTTATTACGACATGGTTGGAAAAAGTATTAGCGAGAGAAGATGTAATAACTTTCATAAAAGAGACTTGTGCGAAATATTTGAATCAAGATGCTAGTCCTGAGATAAATCCTAGGACATTTGCAATAATGATATATTTGTTATACGACGCAAATCTTATATTCTTATGCCAGACGTGCCCTGACATAGAAGCATTAAACAATTGGCTGTATACGTTAAATGGTATTAACGCACGACCGTATGCCGATGTCATATTAAGTATGAATGTAGTAGAATTTATATCGTATTTACTGTATCTTTCTCCGATGGGGTCTCACAATAACATGATGGACTTTATATCGTTACACATACGCATCACTTTCAATTTTTTAATTAAAAATATGAGAAAGATGTCCACAGAACTGTCTTATGAAAATTATACGAGATACACGGCCATTGTATCTTCACATATTATTAACGCTCCTTTTTTCATGTCAAAAAAGGATGTAAACATTTATGCAGAAAAGTTGCAAAACGAAAGTATAAACTTGATACATGACTTGCAAAATCTAAATATACAATATTTGTATGGATTACACACCTTATATCTCTCTCAGAATATATTGACTTTGCCACTTACGAAAACTTTTTATATAAAGCGTTTATTGAATACGCGGATGAACATTCATAACGATATCAATGAGGAAAAAATTTTAAAAGGAAAAATGGCATCAGAATATGATTTGCTTCTTTTAAAACTTCTGCATCAATATCTTATAAATTCGCCAGTACCGTCATGGATTCCTATTACCACAATACTATCTAATTTGTTACAATTTCTTGAGGTAGGCTCACCAGAAAATGTTTCTGAAATTGCAAAGATACTAATAATAATAAATGATAGTAAAATTATAAACGATACAAGTGATAAAGAAACTTTGGAATATATTATTAACTTGAGCTTTACGTACATCATCAACAGTAAAAGAAATAATATTTTTTGGACAGCAATAGAGAACCTTATGGAAGTTATTATTAATAACAATTTCTTATTTTTACTTAATGCTATACAATTCACAAAAAGAGTAAGTTAAAATATATATCGAAATTTACGTATCAATTATGAAATATCAATCACTTATGATCTATTTTGCTTTGCAGTATGTCGTTAAATTACTAAACGAAGGGGAGAATACACCAAGATTTAAAAGGATATTGCTTTCTAAAATGAAAAATTTGGATATACACAATTTGATGAAATTAGAAAATGTATTAGGGAATTGTTTCCTTCATGGTTCTGTACACCGACGTGACAAGAAAATTGAAAATTATGCTCATTTATTTATTGAGAAACAATTAGATAAATATTATTCAAAGCATATTTTCACGTTGTAAGCGTTTCTTTTTATCAATATTTATTTTAAATACGTGTTGCTTGTTAAAATTCAAAGCAATTTGTAAATAATAATTAATAGAACATTAATATTTGTTAACAGGGATCATAATAATGATGCTGCAATTAGAGCAGAGGCAGTTATATTGTTACATAGAATAATTAGTAATCCAGAATGTAATTGCGCAGCATCATTTGGACAATCAGTACTCAATGAGTTGATAAAGAACAAAACCAAGAGATATTTTAAAGATTCACCTTTACATAAATTAAAACACAGAATAATGCAAATTTTATTAATATTAGAACCAGTACTGAGTAAGGTGAGCGCTAAGTTCTCGTTAAGTACCTGTGGAAACTTCAAAAAGTATTATTAAGTTCTTGTTAAATTTTATTTTTCGATTAAAAAATTAACAGATAATTACTTTATAGGAATTTGTTCCTCTACTACAGGAACAGTTATGTGATTTTATTTTTTCGGAAAGCAATCAGTCTAGCGTGAAAATAATGCAGGAATGGTTACTGATACGAATTTTTACAAAAAATATTCATTTGCATGATAAACTGTGGTCACTTTTTGCAAAGGTAATTCGAGTGACTTCTCTTATTTTATAAAAATATTTC